GAAACCCTAACATAGAAACCCTTAATGTTTATAAAAAGGGATTTATCTGAAAAAGTTGGTCTGTAGTGTATGTCTAAAGGGCCCCCTTTACTCCAATACATTTTAATCAAATGCAATGTCCTAAGAAACCAAACAAGAAAGCACAGTGCAGCTATGTAAATGACTTTCTGTATGTTAAGTTTTTCTGGAAATGACTATAGATGTCTTAAAGGTACACTATTCTAAAAAAGGAAAATAACAAGTAGGTCAGGAATAAAGTTGTGGAAAAGCTGAAAGAGGAGTTACATTCATGTGATCTAGGTGAAAATAACAGTTTGCTTGCTGTTTAAAAAAATAGGAGAGAGGAAATCAATTTACATTTTAAAAATGTCTTTTAGTCTTTCTCCTTCAATACTTTTTTGTTATATGGTTGCATTCATAGTTCAAACTCAATTGCTGAAAGAAAAAAATCAACATTATAGAGAGCACTTTAAAGTTTAAAGGAAAATAATTTCAAATTGTTATACATAAAATGAGCCATAACTGCTCAGAGGTTCCCTATCATTACAAAAGCCGGAATTTCAAAAATGTTGGCTTTTTTTGTGCATCCATTTCCATTAGTATTTACCTTAGAAATATAGAAATGCATGTCTTTACAGGTTAAATGAAGCCTCATTGGCTGCAGATTGAGCTTTGGATAGTCTTTTTTGCAGTGGAAGCTCTGCAGAGGCTCTAGCTTGACTCAAATTATCTTGTCAGGGCAATAATAAAGGATAAAGCTGTGCATGTTTAAAAATCCAATCAAATCAGACCAAGAGTATTTTTTGCATCTGTATTCAGGATGTTTTAACGGTGAAAACGTTTATACAAAAATGTTGCATTCCAGAAAGGAGGCATGTAAGTGCCTTGACAGATAATAGGGAGAGAGTCTGTGGTCATCTTAACATATTCAGGCTGTCAGAAATAACATCTGTATTACTTGTATTGGGGGAAAAGATATTTCCAAAAAGGAAATATTAAAGTAGCGGGATGATGTGTACAGGGAGATTTGAATAGTTTTTTATTGCAGCTATGTAGAATAATATACGTTTTTTTGCAATATTTTTATCTTGAGTTAATTAATTGTTGTGAGGGAGTAAGTGGGAGTAAGTGGGATAGCTTGAATCTGTCAAGGGCTGCTTACCGGACTAACGTGGTTGGGAACACTGACAAAGTTCACATATCTAGGTTTATTATCGATTGTTCATACTAATATTTATTATTGAATATTAGTAACACATCCTTATATTTATTCATATAAAAATTTTAACTTTAACATTTTGCATTTTTTTATTATTTTTTTATTTTGTATGCAACACTTTGAGATACATAAACGTAAATTACATTCCATATAATATTCATTATTTTAATTGTTCATACTTATACTACCAATACTGCTCCTTGTCTCTTGCTTCATGACCAAACCCTAAAAACAGATTGGTCACTTTAGCCACAAAATTGGCTGAATTTTACCAATCTGGTTGGTAGTTATATGTCGAACTAATCTTTTGGTTAAAAAAAAAAAAAAAGCTAATGTTTTTTTTTTTTTTTTTTTCCTATACTGGTCAAAGGGAGAAACAATACAAATTGGTCACTTTGGCCAAAGTATTGATCAATTTGTGTAACAAGTTTAAAGGCCGGAGCCGGAGATTGAACCAATAACCCTCCAGTTGAGGAGTAAACTCCTCCATTCAATGCCACTGTCAACACTTAAGCTGCTTGGACTACCAGTGTCTGGAATAAAATAATGGTACAACAAAGATTAACACCAAGATTTGCATGCTCTATACGTACACTCCATTGTTATTGTTCTCTAGGTCCATAAGTATTACACACTACACTTGACTATTTCAATTCAATTCAGTTTATTTATATAGCGCCAAAATCACAACACATGTCATCTCAAGGCACTTTACAGTTCAACCAGATCATACAGTCAAATTGATACAAAGTTTTCTATCTAAGGAAAACCAGTTGACTATACCATCAGTTACCATTTGTAGTGGTTGTTATGTTAATCAATTAAATTGGTTGATCTGAAAGCAATATAATGGTTAATCTAACAAAAACCAAATTATTCTTAGAGTGCAGGTAAGGGTAGGAACGTGGATTGACAGTTAAGTCAAGAGCTTTGGTGTTTTACTCACTTCTTCAGCACAATATTCGATGAAACATCCGCATTATAGCTACAGCCGAACTGATCCTCCCACTCCATTCTACCCTCACTCATGTACAGATTCCAGAGATACTTGAACTCCTCCATGTAAGATAGGAACTCTCCTCCAACCTGAATGAACCAGGCACCTTTTTTTGGGCTCAGAACCATGGCCTTAAATTTGTTGGTGCTGATTATCATCTCTTCTTTTTTTCTAATAATTAACACTATTACTTCCCACTCGGTGGCTTTAAACTTTACCTTTCTTTTACAGCCACTCCCAAACTGCACACTATTTCCCATCTAAAATACTTTTGCAACTGTTAGCCAGTATTCATGACATCTTTGTAGACCCCC